TACTGACACTGTGCTGTTTCCAAAGGCAGTATTATTTCTACTGTCCAACAAAAGTTTCCAGTGACTTGTTCATTGATATTAAAGGAAGAAGGGCAAAATGAATCTTTAGACAGAGGTTTACAGTACTAGCACCAGAAGAAATTGGGAAGGAAACACATTTGTATTCAGGTCCTCTTCTGCTCCCTGGAGTGTTCTTATGCGTTTCTTATGACTTCTCCACCCCAGTGATGAAGTCAGCGTTGGCTCCTTTTTTTCCAGAGAGCTTGTTCAGCGGCCAGTGTTAGGACAGTGGTTCTTAATTTTTAGGTGTACAAGACTCACTTGGGAGCTTATAAAAATACAGATTCCTGCGACATGCTCCAGGAGATTCAGATTCTGTAGGTCTTGGGTAGGGCCCAGGAATCAACATTTAAAACATTTTTCATAAACTCCCAGGTGATTCTGATGTAATTGTCATCTTGAGAAACACCATTATCATAGGTTGGGTTCCCCAAAAGATGATCCTGATATGGGATTTATGAGCAAGTGATAAAGCAAGTGCTCCCAGGAGAAAGAGAAGCAGGAAAGGGAGGAAGAGGAAGTTAAGCAAGGGTGTGATTTCAGGTTAAGTCCTGGGAAGGGTAGCTACTGCCTGATCCCACAGGGGAGCTCGGGAGTGTAAGTAGTCCCTCAGAGCTGCCCCCTCTTCTCAAGTCAAGGGAGCAGGGCTTTTACATTCCTACACTATCAGTCACTGGCCAATAAGTAATAGCCAGTTGGAGAAAACCTACATTTCCAGGTACTCCCACGTGGGCAAAGTGATTCTAGTAGCTTGTACAAAGTCCTCTGAAGTCACAAGCATGGGCTTTGGAAGCAAAAATATGCTGAAGCTGGGGCAGAACACACAGAAATGGTAAAAGGGATCATGATATTGGAGTGTAAGTCTAATGTATGTTGATTTTTCTGGAGGGACAGATGGTGTATTTCATTTGAGCTTAGAACATCCTGGTTTATACCACAAGGCAATAACTTTATTCCAGTTGGGAGCAGTGTCATTCTTAATTTTATTCAGTAATTCAGTAATAATTTATATGCTTAAACAATCATAGTACAGAGTGAGGCTGAACTTTAAATTGCCTAAATTAGCTCTGTGCCACACTGACCTCTGTGTGGCCCTCATGCTAATATTTCTCTAGAGTGTGTTTTCCCCTTCTATATCTATCATGCTGAAATTATGTGGGAGCCTGACAACCTAAGAATGTCTAACGCAATTGTGAGGAAGCCCAACACCTCTAAGTCATTGAAAACTTGCACTGACATCTGAAAATCCAATTTGTTTAGCACCAACTCCATCCTTGTGGGTATTTAGATGTTTTTGAATTTTTTAAAGGCCTATCAGTTATACGAGGGTACTTCCAAAAGTCCGTGGAAAAATGGAATTAAAGGATAATACAGGAAGTGCCCTGGGCTGTCCCGAGCCAGGGCAGTGGGGAGCCTGAGGGCCTCAGCCATGCCCCCCAACATGTGCAACTAGCCCAGTGACAACCACCAAGCACACAGCAAGAAGAGCCCTGGGTTCCCGAGCTGGGGTGGTGGGGGGCAAGGGCTTTTGTCACACCCTCCTGACATCTGCACCCAGCCCAGCAATGCCCAAGCCACCACTGGGAGCCACCCAGTCTCCCTTGTGGGAATGAGGGGGGTACCGCAGGCCTCAATCCCACCCCTCCTCCTTCCTTCTTCTTCCATCACATTTCCTTCCCCTTTCCCCCTCCCTCCCAACTGCTCCACAACAACATCCTAGAATGTAAAAAAATAATATTAATAAAATTATATTTTCTTAAAAAAAATAAAAACATAAAAATAAAAAAAGCTAATACAAATCTTTCCATGAACTTTTTGAAGACCCCTCGTATACTAGAGGTATATCTACATTGTTATGAAGATATAGAATTGTTTCATTGGTAATTTTCCTAGTATTAGAAATACTGCTGATTGGCTGCTGAGCCCATTCCCCGCCTACTTCTCCCTTGTCCACCTCTGAGTAGGAGGCAGAAAAAGTCAAGTGCCTGTGTCCCCAGCTTCTCTTACAGGTGAGGGTTGCCGTGTGACTCTGTCCTGGCCAGTGAGATGGGAAAAAGATATTTCCTTTCCCTAGTAAGATGTGGGAGAAGCAGCATAAAGGCCTCACCTGCCCACGCTGCCCTCCTGCTTTCTGCCGTGGTGTTTGAAGTTGCGGCAGCCGTCTTGTGATGATGAGGCCAGAAGCTAATATGTCCAGGACAGCAGAGTGGAAAGAAGGAACCTATGTTGCTGATCACGCTGCTGAGTAGCTGATCCAACATTAGTAACTATCCATCTACAGACTCCTTGCTACATGAGAAAGATCTCTCCCCTTGGTTTAAACCACCGTTAGTTGAATATTCACTTATTAACATCTGAGCACAATCTAACTGATGTGCCTCAGTTACTTTAACGTTTTCTTTGTGGAAACTAAAACAGAACTAAATTATTGACACCTGACCATTTATATTTGTGTTTATTTGTTGGAAGAGTACTGGAGAGAAGAATCGACTTCATTTAAAAGGTTTGGTTATTTTAGTCCCAGAAGCAGAGGAGCTACCTCTAGCCATCATATATGGTACAACTTGTGAGGGATGTGTATTGCAGAGAACAACTTCTCTATGACTAAATACCACACTGGGAGTTGGGAGATCGAAATTCAGGTTGGGGGAGGGAAAGTCTTGAGCTTTGTGCTGATTGGAAGACCTTGAACCATTCAAGGTCTGTGACCAGGGAATGCCAAGAGCTGATTAAGTTAGGCCAATCTCTGTAGTGAGGGGCTGTGTTGATTAGTTTAATGAATCAGGGCTCACCTCTCCAGGTAAGGTGGTTATAGTTCCACCTCAAACCCAGAGCTGCTACCCTGTGGTGGAGGTGTGGGATGGCTCTCGGGAGAGGAACCACCATATCCACCACATGTGTAAATGAGGGAATTAGACTATCTAAACACTAAGGCTCTTTCCAGATCTAAACTAGCTGTGATTCCATGGGCAGAAAGCATACTTATCCTTGCAGTCGTTTTTTTGTTTGTTTGTTTTTCACACCTCCGCTTTCTTTTCTGTTTTACTTTATAATTGTGCTTTTCTACCTCTGAGCTTAGGTCCCTGTGGAAGATAATAAACCCCAAAATGAAGTCGATAAGACTTGGCATAGCTCAGACTTGGGCTGGGGAAAGGAAGTGAAGCTGACAAGGTGACTTGAGAGGGTCGCTGTGCACTTCAGGGCAGAATGGAGTGACGCCTTATTCATTAGGCACAAGGTGGACAAGCTAACTTGGGGGTGAGTGACTTGTAACTGTTGGACCCTCAAAGGAAGTGATGTTTCTCAGACTGTGAAGCCCCCTTCTCTAGAGAATGCTCAAGTTCTTTGGGAAAGGAGGAAAACCTTCTTGTGCAATTACATTTTCCCTCTGACCTGAATTAAAAAAAAAAAGATTTCGAACTCAAATCATTAACAGGCAAATCTCTCAGCCTCTTGAGGGAGTGGTCAAGGGTTTGCACAAAATGTTTCTGAAGAGAAAATAGGCTGTGTCCACCCCGCCCCCTCCACTTTGGCAAATACTTTTTTTTTTTAATTATCACACTGAGAATTTTACCAGACGATTTCTGGAAACTGACTTTGAACTAACCGGGCACTTCTGCTGTGCGGAGGAACAAAGACTTTTTTTTATTGGTCTTCAACTGAGGTATATACCTGTCTGATGGCGTTGGCTCATTCCACACATGCTCAGTTGAACAGAAATCTTCATATTGAATGCAACCTAGCACAACGGCAACACCCAGAATCTCACTCCCTGGCTGACCCTGTGCATCACCCCCCTTTAGTTGCATTTTTATCCTGACAAGTCTAACATGTATAAGGAGTATACAGAGCACAGAAGGTGCTGGGAGCTTGGGGGTAATATACAAGAGGGTTCACAGAGTGTCGGTATTTCCCTGCTTTCCTGACCTCTCTCTACGTTGTCTTTAGTGGGGATAGGCATTGGATATATATTTGTTGAGTTTGGGGCAAAACGCGAGAGAAGCTGTCTTTACAGATTGCCGTTTGTTGTTGCACACCTTCCCGAACAGTTTTTGTTTGGTGTTTTTCTTGGACGATCCTCCTCCCCCAGCCCTCATCTTCATTAAGGAATGACAGGATGGCAGTAAAAGCATCCGCTGCCAAGCACGGTCTTGAGTGACACCCTCTCTCCACCTCTTTTCTTGCTTTCCCATTCATTAGCACCCTTTCCCTGCCTCTTTCCCCAACAAAAAGCTGGGATTACAAAAGAAGGTGGGGAGCGGCCTGAGTTCGCAGCCTCTCGCCGAACAGCGTGCGTGCAGCCGTGGACCTTTCGTCCCCGGCCCCTTTCGCGGCTTGGTCCC